AATCGGGAGCAGCTGTGTTGGCTATCTCACTGAGGGTGGTCGAAAGGGCAGGTAGGAAAAACGACTTGATCACGCTTTCTGAGAAAGATCAGCTCGTTTCGGCTGACGAAGAAAGAATTAAAACCGTGCGAAGAATGACCAATGTCGCTTTCCGATTGGGTAAGGTGCATGCGCTTGGGGATGTCATAGTACTAGATGTCAATACGTACGACGTTCTCTTCGGACTTCCCGCTCTTGTGGCGTTACGAGCAAACCTGGATTTCGAACGACGATCGATCGTCCTCTGAAATACAGGAGGAAAACCCTACGCTGTGCCCATGCGATTGACTCTTCGCACTACTATTAACGCGGTTCCCCGAGTTTCGCCGACGATAGCAGGGACTCTCCGCATGATCTCCTGGGGGAAATCCGTAGAAGGAGAGTCGTCAACAGATGATGCGGAAAGCAGTGATGAGGATGATCCAGAGATCTTGAAATTAGCACACCAACGTGTTTGTTACCCGCCACCCAAAACGATAGCAAGAATGATACAATTAACCAGCCGAAAAATTCAAAGGACCAAGGCGATGATCTTGGGTGAGCCCCTCGTGCAGATTTTGAGGATGGCCGATTCTTTGGAACCCCCTCAAACTCTGTACGAAGGAATCACCCCTCTCCTCGCCCGGTACAGCGACAAGAAACATTACTGTGACGTTACGGATCTACCCAAGTCCTTACTAACCTCCGCCAAAGAAGTGAGATTGTTATGCTTGGGGGCGGAAGCAAGCTTTTTGGAACCCCCTGGGCGTTTTGAAGCAGAAACAGACGAACTGGGGATAAAGATCGCAACTAAGGAAGTGCCATGGCAGGATGTTTGTGACGGGATTACCCCGGAAGGACGCCTGGCAATCCGAGAAGAAGATGCTCAAATGATGACCACAGTGTTCTCCTAGCGATTAGATCATTCATTCATCTCGGCGCCTCCACCCGATTTGGCAAAACAGGCGAACACGAAACAGATTGACGTTCGGATCTGGGACCAACTTTTTGAACTACACGTCCCACAATATGTGTCGGATGAAATCCACCGGGTAATTGCAGATATTCTTACAGAAWATCAAGGAGCGATTAGTGTGTCAGACACTGACATTGGGCTGTCRTTAGTAATCCAACACGAAATTCAGACAGGAAATCATTCCCCGATTCATTGCAAACCTTATCGTTATTCCTTGATTGAACGCAAAAAGGCTCTCGAACGAATTCGGGAGTTCAAAGTCAGCGGTTGGATTGAACCCGCTACTGGACCCTGGTCATTTCCTGTAGTGTTAGTACCGAAGAAGAACGGAGCGATTCGCATTTGCATTGATTATCGCAAGCTGAATGAAATCACGATCAAAGATGTGTATCCCCTCCCCCGGATTGATGATCTGTTGGATGCGATCAGATGCGCTAAATATTTCAATAAGTTTGATATTCGGCATGGCTTCCATCATATTCTGGTAAGGGAAGAAGATCGGCCGAAAACATCCTTTGTGTTGTTTGAAGGTACGTGGCAGTGGATTCGGTGTCCGATGGGGATTTGCAATGCGCCTGCCACGTTTCAGCGAGCGATGAACCTGACGTTCCAGAACTTCGTCAGCAAGACACGGCTGACGCAAGGAATGATTAACTTCTGTGTGATCGTGTACATGGACGACATCCTTGTCTATTCGGAAACCTATCACGGGCACACGCAACGCATCGAATGGACATTGCGTGCATTGAGAGACGCTGGGTTCAAGATTGCGCTTGAGAAGAGCGAATTTTTCCTCTCGGAAATTTCGTTCTTGGGTTATGTCGTGACACGTGGAGGATTGCGGCCAGACTCGATAAAAGTTGCGGCGGTAAAGGAAGCTCCGGTTCCCACGTCACTGATGTAGGTTCGAACCTTCTTGGGACTAGCGTCGTATTACCGGTGCTTCATCAAGGGCTTTGTCGTGATTGCACGACCACTAACGAATTTGTTACGGAAGGACCAGCCTCTCAGCTGGGACGTGGAGTGTCAGCAGGTCTTTGCAACCCTCAAGGACGCTCTGGCAACGGCCCCTATTCTGATTCGACCGGACCCCTCAAAGCAGTTCATTCTCATCACGGGCTGGCAACCGGAAGCTATTTCCGCTATTTTAGCGTGGAAGGGGAACGATGGTCGCGAACACGTCCTCAAGTACGCGTCATGAACCGTACCGGACGAACGAAGGAAMGACTCCGCACCTCAAGGCGAATGCTATGCGGTAGTTTGGGGAATCCAGCACTTCCATCCGTATCTCTACAGACAGAAGTTTCGCCTCATAACGGATCACGAGCCTCTGCTGGCGTTGAAGAAACTCACCAACTACACGGGCATGATTGGTTRTTGGGCGGTGCGATTGCAAGAATACGACTTCGATATCGTCCATCGAAAGACAGAGCGACACAGCAACGCGGACGGGCTGACACGTCTGCATCGACCCGGCAAGGTTCCAAAGGGCGAGGAAATTACACCGTGGAAAGAGCCAGACCTGACTAACGAGCCAAAGTACGGACAAGTGGCAGTTCTCCCACGTGGCAAGAAGTGAATCGGTGGCGATGGGTGACAGAGGTAACCCCACTACCCCTCTCTCCCCCCCTTCCTCTTTGTCTCTCCTCTCCCTACCTGACAAATTTTGCTATTTTTGCGAAGCCATCTCCCGCGTATACTCAGTCTCCACGTGTCCTAATGGGGAGGGGTATGTCGATTGGATAGATTGTCGACAGTGTGTCGCACGAGCCCATGGCTTGTGCATCCAGTACAGAAACGATAAAAAATCGTGGTTGTGCCCCTTGTGTCAGACCAACAAGATTTCGACTGAGGCTCGCTTTTTGGACGCCACGTCAGAAGGGCTGGAAAAGACCCGGAAGTTTAGAAGGGCCGAAGTATGGACTGATATTGCCTTGATTGCCACCTTGGTTGGCAACCCCCTCCAGGATTTCACTAAGGAAGATCGGAGGAGGGCCAACGAAAGGGCTCGGGATTACAGATGGATAGAGGGGAGATTAGAAAAACGAAAAACGGATGGCAGTGGGATTTGGATGGTAGTGTCGCATCCGTTCAAGCGGTATGACTGGGTTAAGACAGCCCACGAGGAAACTGCGGCTCATTTTGCTGTACGAATCACGGAGTCCGCTATCGACAAAAATGAGTGGTACTGGTCCAATATCCGCGACGATGTGAAGTACATAGTCGCCAACTGTCAAGTCTGCGCCGCTGATAAAGCGTCGATTCAACCACCAAGGTCGATAGTGCCCACGGTTGTTGAACGGCCATTTCAAAGAGTAAGCATGGATACTACTGACATAGTGGTGCCCCCTGGCCCTAATAGTTGCGAATATTCAGTCCTATTGGTATTTGTCGACCATTTCTCAAAATGGATCGCGACGTATCCTTGTCGCACGCGACAAGCCACGGAGATCACGCGATATGTCAACCGTTTCCTCGGGATGCATCAGGATACCGAAGAGATCCTGACCGACAATGGGGCTGAATTCAGGGGAGAGGTATTAAGGAATCTAGTCCTACATGGCGTCGCCATACGGAACACTGCACCCCACATGTCACAATCTAACGGGCTGGTCGAAAACGCTAACCGGGTGATAAGGACCGCGTTGTGACGAAACATCGCGGCAACGGATTCGAGACCCTGGCCCGACATCGTCGATCATATCTTGGCGGTCCATCGCGGAACGCCCCACGAATCAACGAGGTTGAGCCCCTTCCAATTAAGGACCAATAGTGTCGCTTGCGTTTCGATACCAGGCCTCCCGGATGAGTCTACGTTGAACCGACGGCCCACTAGGGCTACGGCTCGGGACAAGGCCAAACGACACCTAGATGGAACGGTCGCTGCGCAGGCTAGCCCGAAAGCGACAGAAAATTACCAAACTAGCCCAGGGCCGACAGGTCCGGAGCTACGAGGCTCGAAATGGGAATGCAGGTCCGCGGCCCCAGTACAAATTGGGGGACGTGGTGCAGGTGAGGAAATGTGCTCGCCAGGGTAAGCTAGCGCCGCGATTCTTCGGGCGATATCGCGTGATCGAACTCGGCCCCAACGGCGTGGACACCGTGCGTCTCGCCCCTGAAGTCTCCGGCAGTCGGTCGGCTCGTCCTATCACACGCCACGTGTCCTATCTTCACCTCCTCCCCTTTGCTCTCTCCTTCTTCCTCGATCTCTCCCTTTGAGGAAGCCGAAAGCGACGACTCTAGCTCTCCGCCATCTCCCTATTCCTCTTGCTCCCCATCTGCCTCCCCGTCACCTCCGCCATCGCCATGAGTTTTCTGGAGGAAAGAGCCCTCAGCGCAGCATCGCTTGCTCCCTGCGATCGATTGACGATCCGGCAAGTCCATCATCCCCGCCTCAGTCCCGATCTTCGGAGGCTTGCGCACTTCTTCTGCACGGAAGGCGTGTATGCAGCGACGATATTCAGAATCGAAGGCCGGCCTGACGCGGTGGTACTGGCCGAGGCGGTGGCAGTTCAGCAGCAAGCGATGCCAAGTGTCAGTCGCATATCGGTCGTCATCAACTTCAGTGGCGATCTCTCCACACTTCTTCCTTTGCGACATTCGGCGGTGAAGGCATCGCTGCGCGCGTGGGCGAACGACCTGGTCGCTGAGTGGACCCAGCTTCTGGCTCGTCCCGGAGATACAGTCGCAACGACACGAGCGATCGAGTACGACGGCCTTCGGATGTATCAACGCGAGCCGCCAGCAGACATCCCTATCCTCGTTCCCTTCCCACGTCCCCAATGAGTCTCTCTCCGATCTCCGTTTTTTATCTCCCCTCCACCTTCCCTACCTTCTGGCAGTCCGATATCCATCCTCGCCTTTCCTACTGTCTAAAGCCCCTCGCTGTCCCCGATATCCATCCTCCCCATTGGGTCCTGTGGGGCGAAGACTTCATCGAACTTTCACTGTATCTGGTGGAAGTACGGCTGACGTGGATCAAGGACGAAGCGCACCCGCCTTGCATAGAGCGTCTGGAGCTGCTGTTCGTCCAGGCCTGGCGAACCAACATGGAGGGAGAGCTTCTGGCGTTTTTATTCGGTACGGTGCGGCCCGGTCATCAGGATCTCATCACGAAAGAGCTCACGATCCCGGTAGCACAGCTGGCGGACGATCTCCCTCTCGACATCATCTCGCAAGACGACGAGCATCCAGTTCCCCACGTACTTTCTCGCACATTGACACCTTATCTTCAGTGGTCGGCCTGCGTAGAAGGAGCCGCAGAGCGCATCCCGTCGTCGCAGCAACAATACCTGGATCCCCGGACGGCTCGCGATCCTGCCTTCTTCAGGCATCCTACGACAGAGAAACTTGCGGCCATCAGAGAAGAAGAGGAGGAGGAAGAGAGTACCGAGAGTGACGAAGACGACGACGGATTGGAAGAAGGTGGGAGCAGCGACGAAGAACTCGGCGAAGAAGATGAGACCCCCGAAGAAGGAAGCTATAGCGAGCATAGCGAAGGGGAACAAAGCGAAGAAGAAGAAGAAAGTGAGGAAGGAGAAGAGGAGCACGACGAAGAGCCTGCTGGATCGGAGTGGGAAGCCGTGCCAGAAGAAGCGTTGCGTACGGGTACGGAGGCTGAGGATCTAGAGGCGGCCCGCAAAACAAAAGAGATCGCGGTCGGGAAGGAGTTAGAGCTCGCAAGCGCGGCAAGTCTGCAGATTCACGACGATCCGAACAGAGATCCAGAGCCGCCCCGACCTGAAGATGGCGACCTCGTGGCCACGACTCCGGCCCCATCAGCGCGGAGACAGAGCCGATCCCCCTCCTCCTCAACCCGTCCCCCAGTTGGCCAACGTACCGATACAGGCGATCGGTCTTCGTCCTCGATCACTCTCTCGTCGTCCCCTTGACTACCTCACCCTCCGCCAGCTCACCACCCCCATCACGTTCCCCTCCAATCCGTTTCCTCGCGACACCTTCCGCCACTTCTACGCTGCTCGCCTCGCTATAGTGGTGCACCCCCACCCCTCCATTCGATGCGTCGTCCCAGCCTTCTGCCTCCATTTCCTGCTCCTCATTGCCGCGTGGCGAGGCCACAACATGATCGAGGTTTACTGCGTGGTAACGGGGACCATCCCCGCATGCGATGATCGCGATCGTTTCCGCGCGGCACTCTTCCGAACTCTCACTACCCTCTATCCCGATTATCTCGCATCCCTCCCTCGCACTGGCAATCGCTTCCCCCGCTTTCACCGCATTGTTCGTTACCAAGAGCTCTTGGAGACTGTAACCGGAATGGAAAGTCTCCTGCCCCCATTACCCATAAACCCTCCATCCCGCCATGCCGCCATGCACCAGCTCCCTTTTCCCCTCCCGGTTAATTACTAATGCAGCAGGGAATGGATGCGTGTCGCGGCGACGGCATGAGAAAGATCCCGTCCTTGAATCGTCGAGGAACCCAATTTGAGGAACTAGTACAAGAGCAGTGTTGCCACGGCGGATGACACCCACACGCAGTTGAACGGTAAGTGTCATAGAAGAAAGTGCTTCGCGCGTCGATCGATTAGAGAAATCGACACATGTCAACAAGCAAGCAGGAGCTTGCTAATACTGGAACCCCCTGGGCGTCACATATGTGACGAACCACTTTCTGTAACGCGCGATTTTCTGCGCGATTGCAATGAGGTGTCCTAAGCTGGGAAGATTAGGCCAATTACGGGAGATCGGGATTGATGGAGAATTGCATCAGTGTCCTCGCTTTTTCGTCCTTTTTCGTCGCTTCGTGTCAGATGATCGGGTTCGGAGCCAGGTGTGTCTTGGGAAGGCCGGTGGATTGATTGGTCGGATGGTTGTTTGGCGCGTTGCCACGCGCGCGTGCGATTAATAAATGTTGACGTCGTTTGTTTCGCTTCGGTTTCGATCTTTTTGGGCGCGGACACCGCGCGGGAAATTGCTTTGTTCCTTTTGAATTTTCTTTTGAATTTTGTCGAGCCCCCAATGGCTCTCGGAATTTCGGATTTTCCTTCTGAATTCGTGCTTCTTTTTGCTTTTTCGCATTAGATAGGAATTTAGGAATTTAGAAATTTAGTAATTAGGATTTTTCCTGCCGCGCGACGCCTTTTGTTTACGCGCTTCTCCTGCGGCTGCAACGGTACTCTGATTAGTAGGCGCCCTTAATCGCGCGTGTAACTGTAATTTTGGGCGGGCACCATTGTAACTGTATCTTTCTTCTCGCACTTCGTCTTTCCCGCCCTCCCTCTCTTTCCTTTGCTGAAATTTCGAAAGCCGCAGCTTGCATGATCGGATCGATGCCTGGAGAAGGGTTACGTCCCCCACGATGTGGCCGATCATGCAGAACGTAGGCGCTCCCTCTCTAATCCTCACTCTAAGTCCTAGTAATTCCGTGTTCTTCGCGCATGCATGCACGCTATAAATTTCGGTTGCGCAACTAGTCAGGTCTCTTAACCCGTTGTTGGAAGCTCGGGGTTGCGCGATCAGGAAGGGTCGGCGCACGAGCGAAGTAAGAGGTGAGTAGAGTCGGAGTTGGGCGACCCGACGGCCTGGTGCCGAACGCGCGGGATTGACGTGGGCCACAGCGGACTGTGGGCACAGGCGAATCCGACGGGTGCGGGAGGACTAAGCGGGGTGACAACTTCATGGGTTGGTGCGTGACGACAGACTGTCCACATCGGAGAGAAAGAGAGAGGATAAGAGAGTGGAGGTTGATAGACGTGGATTTGTTGTTTCTTTGTCTCTTCTCCCTCTTCATCTGTGTACATACATTTTGATTGTGGCTCCGGGCGGTTTGCCCGTTCTTATCTTCGTTTAGGCTCTCTGGAATCTGGACTTGGGTTTTTGCTCACACCTGTCCTTGCAATTGCATTATGTTTATGATTGTCGAATGTATGGATGCATAAATGTCATGCCTGCTTGCCTATCTCTTTTGCGGAGAATCCCTGCCCTTGCTTTTTGTTTGTGCCGAATATTTGCTTGCACCGGATGCAGCGATAGATGGGATAAGAATCTGGCCCCGATGTCGATTTCGTTCTCGTTTTTGCTTGTCCCATGATGAGGTCGTGGTATGATTGCATCTTGCATAACCGAGACTTACGAAGCAATTAGGCGATTCGAAGTCCGGCCCCGCGAGCGCCGCACGAGAACACGTGTAAACGCGATCCGAATCGCGCCCTTACACGCATTCCCATGGGTCGACTCGCTCACCCCGAAAGGAATCACGGTGGAACCATCATCCCATACGAGCACGCTGAGGCGCCACTGAGTCGGCCTGTCCTACACGCGCTCGTGCGCGGTGACGATATCCCGACCCGCGCTATCCCATCGGCAATGATACCATGACGCGATCTTGGGGCTCAGACTCGTCCTATGACCCGGACTATTTCACCCCTATAATAAACGAGCTCATAAGGACCCGATACCCTTGTCACACGGAGAATCGGCTATGTCCGCGGGAATTTCACTGTGCCACCACTAGCGACCCTCGGTGCTCCGATTTCCCTTCCCCCGACCACACCTACTACTTCACCCACCCGGGGTTCGTTGAGATCACCACCAGTTTCCCTCCTTTCCGCCTCCTTCTCNCGATTTCCCTTCCCCCGACCACACCTACTACTTCACCCACCCGGGGTTCGTTGAGATCACCACCAGTTTCCCTCCTTTCCGCCTCCTTCTCCCGTATCATGAACTCAGTGTCGTTCCGTGGCCGGCCATAGCCCCCTATTGGCCCAACACGTTTTGCGTAAACTGCCGACGCAGCGGCGCACAAAGAACCCCGGAATTCCGAAGGCCCAACCCAGCTACATGGCGGCCTGCGCCACGTGGCGGCCCCCGACGGCCTAACTTTTCAGGACCATCTCCACCATGGAGGAATTTTCCCGTAACCCGTCGCCCGCAGTGTCCCTGTGACGCGCCAACCTCACGCCCTGTGTTGTTTTTCGTTCGAAGTGTGAGACGTGCGGAAAGAGGCCCAGAAAAACAGCAAGATGGGGTGTGCTAAGGATGTTTGGGAAATTGAGTGTGGGGACAGATGGAACTGAAATCCCCCGTGATGGTCCGATGAAGCAAGTCAATTAGTTTCGCGCATCGCGGAATGCGTGCGAGGACATGGCGCGAAAATAGAAAGATCCAAATTCAATCCAGAAAGTACTGTCGGGCTTCCCACCAGGCTACAGCCCGTTGTTTAAAACGGAAAGGCTCTGGCACGCTTCGCGTGTCTCGTTTTCGTATCAGATCTCGTCGTCGTTTGCTGGTCAGTTCCGAATCCGACGTGGATGGTCTCAGCCGAGTGGCTCTTTCCTTATGCTCGTCCTCACTCCGTATTCGGTAGTGGAAGCCCTTCGCTTCGTAGCGATCGAAACGCTGGCACTCAGTGCACAGAGTGCGGGACCAATGGGGCGCCATTGCCGTCCACGGAATGACGATCAACTCGTTAAACGGCAACAATATCGAGTAGGGTGGAAAATGCGTATTGATAATGACAAATCCGGCGTTTATGAACCCAGAACAACGGTTGGCCGGAGGGAAGTAATACTGCCCGCCGATTTGTACGACGGCTTCTCGTACGTCCCACTTACATATAAGTGTCCGTTCCTCACTGTAGGGAAAAGGTCGCGTTGGGATGGGAGATGCGGGAGGCTGGTGCCCAATCGAGGGGTGCTTGTCAGTTCACATATCAATCAATCGCATATATCCAGAGACGTCATTAAGAAAAAAAATTATTCATGCGACCCTCAATCTACCCTTCTTGACACACGAGGGAACAGACTCACATCAGCTTGATCATGCATAGGGCTAAGGGACTAACCCGCAACTCAGTTCAACACAACGTTGGTTTCCGGCGCCTTGTTTCTCAAGGCCGCCTGGTGGCGTGGCTGCTGAGGTCGTGCCGCATAAGGCAGATGGCATGCGCAGGGCGTTCGGGACTATAGATCTAAACACTCTTGTATTATCGAACAAAATCCCGACGACACTCGTCTAATCAATCCGAAAAGTCACGCATCTCTATACATGCATTCCCTGTGGAAGGTGCGAACATGAGTCATTCACAGGAAAAGATGGATCGCATTGCACAGTACACACGCATCCACCGTTCACAAGACAAGTAGACGGGGTCCTTGGGTAGGAGGATTACCCAGGAAACTAATGGA